AAAAATCGAATTAACGGAATAGGCGACAAGGCCATAGTATTACCCAATGGTATTTATATATTAACAGTTTGTTGAATTTGAATGGTTTTATATGCCATAATGGAAAAGACAATCTGTAAACGATTTCATATGACCGCCATTATGTCGCAACTTTATAACGTCTAGCATATAAGTATGTAAATATAACAATACGAGCCTCTTATAACCAAGAAAACGCATACACTGCGCCAAGATTTAAACGTTATATAAACCCCATCAGTCCAATCCAGGTTAACATTAAACACGTAGTTGCAATGCTTGACATGACAATTCGTGCATTTATCGACAGTAAGCTCGACGATATCGAACTCGAACAGCTCGTGAATCCGCCGCTTCCATTGTTTCTGTCGATCGAAGATTTACTAAAATTACCGCCCGTAAAACGTTCCAAAAAACACAAACCGTTAAACCGGTTTTTAATCTATCGCAGAAATTATGCAGCAAGTTTTCCACTAAACGAAAGGCCGACCTTTAAAAAAATTACCAAAGGTGCTTCAGCAAAATGGATGTCTGAAGGTAAAGAGGTCAGGGCGTTCTTTCTCTTGCTCGCAAAAATAATGGAGCGATACATGAGAGCACTTTCGACAGCCGAACAGAGCGGTAAGCATAATCCACAACATATCGCGGTTCTTGTTCACACTGCTTGTATTCACTCACAAACCGTCAATTTCACTTAATTTGCAGAAATACAACCCGCTTTGCCTGCGGTCGACACACCTTCGACTCCACTTTCTATTGTCGAATCGCAAGGGTCATTGGGATATTTGGACAATGAGTTATCCCCGTCAGAAACAGTATACCTTTGGCATCACCCGTTGACTACGGAAGTTCCAGATGGCATAAATAATGCTATTATAAGCCCTTACGCTGGCGAAGGGTTCATGGACGAGCAGTTTAATAATTTTATTAATGAGAATGCGTTATTCGGATTTGAACTTCAGCAATACGAAAATTAGTCGTTTTCATTTTGGTTCTTACTTAATTCGTATATTATTTACTCGCAAATGTCGTTATTTTACTCGATTACACTCTTTTTAAGTATATAAGTCTTTTAAGCCAAAATTTTCCTTCGCTAAGTGCGAAAACATATGTTAATTTTTTTTGAAAACAAGATTATAATTGATATGATAAGAATATAAATTAAGCAACAAACAATAAATACAATAAGTACGCATTGGACACATTATAAATTTTGTAGCACTGGTTAAGCACGAAGTCAATACACGTATAAATTTATATAACTTTCCTAGCATTGTGTTTTTATTCAAATAAAGTCATCTACATAGGCCATTATGACAAATATGACGTTATTTATCGCGATTATCTAATACGATTGTCGAAGACCCACGAAGAAATATGATACTTATCACTAACTATAACATGTAGCGTATACGTGCGTATATTTTTGTTAAATATATAAACATAAAAGACTTTGAGCGATATAGCACGGATTTGGCTGTAAATTTACTGGATAAAAGAAAATAAATTAACTTGGCCCAACATGTTAGTCATAATACAATATCAACACTATCTTTGTTGTATACTTTCATAAACCGATATCGATATTTTTTTAACTATTCAATTCATATTACTTTATCTGTAGTAGCACCAGTCCATATTTACTTAGGGGTTAATCTCAATTTTTAAGTCGTAATTTTAAATTGTATACATGGATTCTGCTTCGTGTTTGACAAATATTGTCACAGATGCTTTAATAGTGCAATTACAATATATTTAGAAAGCTTAGGCAAAATCAAAACATTGGGAGAAAGCATTTTACGTGAAATATGACAGCTAGATTACTCGGTTAACTCCCAGTCTAAGTCAGAACATGCTACTGGTTCTTATTGGTTTCGACAAATTTGTCATACAATGCTGTGATAACCAACAGAGAACATTTGATAGTTTTTGACCAAGCTCAGGTATTAAAGACTGTAAGATCTCTGGAAGTCTTTCAGAGTATTGTTTGATTAATCTGGTAATGTGTGAATTAATCATAGTATTATCATTATGCAAATCAGAATGTACTTAACTATTTATTCCTAGCTCGATATCTTTTACAATTCTTGGAAACTTGTATTCCGTCACCTGACACGTAAACTCAAATACAGTCGTCCCCCCTATAGTCACACCGTCGGTTCTTCTGAAACCTATGACTGTAGAGAAGGACCCTATACAATCCCAGGATATATGCAATTCATTGTGAAGTACTTATACAAAGATTTATATTAATTGACAGCATTCTTGTAAATTCTGACTTTGAAAAAATTTTTATTCAGTTTAAGTCATAAAAAAAAAGCAATAGACTTATCCACTAACAGTTCAAGTATTGGTATTTTGCGATGGAGAATTTTTAACTCATCTGGTCTAAACAACGTCTCGGAAAGCTGTTCTTGGAATCTAATGAGTTCCGTGAGATGAAACAATGCTTCGTGGACAAGATCTTGCTCACTGTAGACCGATCTATATTAATACTATACTTATTATTGAAATACAGTAAGATGCAATATCAGTACTTGTGGCCGTGTTATTATTGTTGAGTAAATGCAAATCTCATGCCGTAAAGCATTAGTGATTTGAGTTCTCTTTCTTTTCTTGGTTGGAGAGGCTATAGACATTTTAATTTTGTGTAAAGAATGCGCGTTCTCCAATCATTTTATTTTTTATTTTTGTCACGTGATGTAACTGTAAGGAGTTAATTTTCATATATCTACTATTTATCGGTTCTGCTGTGTCTTGTGATAGGACTAAGCGAATTGGGACTGTATAGAGGTAAATTCACTATAAAATCAGTTGGTTCTGTAAAAAGGTGTAACTGTAAGCCAATTGTGCTTATATAGGGGGTTGGACTGTAGAGGGGGACGACTGTATACATCGATGAAAATGTCGATCAATTAATTTTACTCCAATACAACATAAGTTCTTATTTGACGCCGTTTGTTTTGTTGATTAACAAAAAAAAGGAATAGAAATAATAGTTACACTCCCCAAAGTTTTCGGATTTACTAGTAAAACATGAAAATATTTTATTCGAAAATTTTTGTAGTCTGTATATACTATTACTATGTAAATAGCAATGATTAGGTATTGTTATGAAAATGCTAAATTAAAATATGTTATCGATACAAAACTGCTGTTCGATGAAGCGGTAGTAGATAGGTCACACATATAAATAAATATGTTTTCGTATACACTAACACTTCGTCGAACTACAGCTATATGACAGAAATGCATTTTAATTCATCAAAAACTACAAGCAATCGGCTTCATAACGATGCTTAAATTATTACGACATAATGTATCTAGACTACAGAGACTTATATTACTTTATCCACAGTTTTATATAAACTTTAACTTTTAGTATAACACTGTCAAGTTAGTTGCAGCGAAACGTGTACTTTAATTTTCGATAAAGATATAAGGCACGAGATTTGATGATAATCAATTCTGTCGTCCTATAATTGGCAAGCAAATACTATTAGGGAGAAACATCATATTTATTCCTCTTTATTAGGCATACGGTACTATTATCGAATTCACCCCAAATTACTATTTCTTTGATAATTTACGATAATTTTAATGATTTGGCGAAGCCCACAGAGCCGTGTGATCAGTGTGTTATTTATTTTATAATACAAATGCGGTCAAATAAATGCTTCTGATCAAGTGATCACCACTCCGGATGAGGTAAGTTGATAGGCGATGTGCTAGGTTTGTGCTACAACACAGTTCGATGAGCATTTACCAGTTAAAAAATAGTTGATAAGCGTATACATTGATTTTATAGTAGAATGATAACCAATATATAAGATATTAAAACACGGAAAATTTTTGGCAGGCGATTACACTTACAGTAGCGAGCATAAGTATCCGACCACTCCTAGTTCGGAACAGGACTTTGAAAATTTCCCTGCATATAGTATTACAAACCATGATCACCTGTAAATTTTCAGCTCGATCGGATTTCTTAAGCAAATTTTCCAAACAACCTCTAAAATATATAAAACATATCAAAGCCGCATCTCTTATTTCGACATAAACTTAAAAATACATATCTCCACATGTATTTAATAAAATTTCAGGATCTTTTTTTTTGCTAGATCAGTTTCTACGTGTTTTTGACGTTTAATCGAGTTGGAAAAAATCGTTCTATAAAGTACTTTGCAATAAACGCGTGTGATATTTTTCAGTAACATTATATCGCATGATCGTTTGCATTTTGTGGTAGTGATCACACAATAATTTGTTTAAAATAATCCCAAAATTTGGTTAGTAAAGTGTCGAGATACGAATTGTTGAAAAATTTATAGTCGAAATTGCGAAATATCACGAAGGTAAAAGATTTGTGTTTGGAAATTTTGCTAGAAACAGTTGATCGGACTAAAATATTACAGGTAATCAGGGTTTGTCATACATTATACGCAAGGAAATTGTCAAACGTCCGCTCATTCCTGTCCCAAGCTAGGAGCGGTCTGATACTTATGCTCGCTACTGTATATTTCAACTTAAAAAAATCAAATTATAAAATCATTTCAGCATCAATATCAAAAAATTTATCCTATAAAAAAGCAAACAACAAATAATTTAAAAACGCTTTCACTATTTAATTCTTTGCGGGTTGTTGATCGGACTTATCCTTGATCTCTCGCTTCATTATAAAACGTATAATCAACTTAATAATGGCATTAATTATAATGTATAGCATAGATTTCGACCAAAGTATAGGGTACTCATCAATGGCTTTGGGTCTGAGTATTTAATCCCATGCAATCGTTCTAGTGAATATGCAAATGTACTGTATGATGCTTGTAAAAATTAATAAAGAAACGACAAAATTAAGCGTACCAATTATTGTAAATATGTGTTACTTAATCTTTTGCAAAACTCGTAAACTGTCCCAACTTAATGAAACATAGTCTCTCATTCATACTGACTACGAATCACAAGAATAACGTTCGCTGATGGAGATTGACTCTCTCTGCTTCCCCAATGAAAATGATGCATATGATCTTGTTGCTGTGATTGGTACACCACTTGTGCTATCTGCAGACAATGGTTATGGGGAGAATATGCTTCATTATCCAATTGATCAGCTTATTCGTTCACCAATGATATTTTTTAGAGAACAGCTAGGAAGTTCAGTCCTTCCAGTTACTATAGACCGTGATGTGATAGGCAGGTAATTATCTAAAGACTTAACACATTGGAGATGATGTTGTTCAACTTTTTTAATAAACATTTTTCTAGGACCACCACAACAAAAGCAAAACTTCGTCCTGATTTCCTCTGTTGGGTTGGCGATGTGGTATTATTAAAAGGCGAGGAGAAGTCATTGGAGAGTGAGTTCAATAATGCTTGTGAGGAGCTGTGTGTCAGGATGAGCACACTTGATCCGATATACTTTGGTGATATGAGTTATATATTGTGCTATTCCGCAGGTGGGAAGTGGATTCAATTTTTCGCCCTTGATAAGTTGAAAATGTTATATCCGCTTACAGCCAAGTTCGATCGAACCAACGTGTGTGACAAGATATCCGTGATTAACACCATCATCAATATCATGCGACTCATTGTCACAGTCAAAAACATTCTTCCAAAAGATATTCTTCCTCTTGGCCGCATATTTTGCAAAGGTTGTACCAGCATCACCTTTTTGGAGAGTAGTGTTAAGAATTCAATCCGCGAGTTTAAGAATCACTACCCCTTTGCAAATATGGAAACCCTTAGAAATATGTACCAGGTCGCAATTGGCAAGCAAGGACTTGTCCAAGCTCTGGATCAGCCAAAACTCAAGCGGGACGGTTCCTACGAAGTTATGCTTGCAACACGTGGATTTTACATAATACCAAAGACAGAACAGGAACTTCAGCATGCGATTCGCGACATTCTGTATGGGCTGCATGCTCTCCATAAGGTAGGTTTTGTTCACAGAGATATTCACTGGGCTAATATCTTGTGCCAGCAGCCAGGAGGCTATGTCCTGATTGATTTCGAACACGGAGGATTAGCCTGCGAAAAGCCGCCATTTTTGCAGCTGACGGATGGGATGATGAGACACTGGAGTCAGGAGGCATTTACAGTGAAATATCAGACATTTATCAGGTGGGGAAATTGAAAAATCATCTGCCAGGGGTTATGTTGTCACAAACAGGAATGGATTTCTGGAATAACTTACAGCAACAACACATAGTGCAGAAGAGGCCCTCAAGCATCTGTGGCTTCAAAATTTCTAACTTAATGAACAGTATGCTTTTGTGATGACACTTATGTCTTGATCATGTAAAATCTGTTTCATGAGTAGTATACTGGGCTTGCATCAAAATGGGTAGTCTAGTATGTCTATATGATTATTGTCACATGCTAATGCTGGACAAGTGGTGTTAGTTTACAAATATAATTAGTAACCAGATCTGGCTTACTGTATGGTAGGTAGCATCTAATTTGAGAATCTGCAATCCATCATATGTACAATCAGGTTGCTTTTTATGTTAATGTTTCTTGCTACAAGAAATATAAACAAGAAAATGGTGAGCTTCTAAGAGATTGAAAAATAAACTGAATACAATAATTGATTACATGTGTTACGGTCGGGAATTAAATGGGGGTTTTGGGAGAGCGATTTATCTTTTCGTGTAGGTGTGTTCGCCGACCGGG